AATGGTCACAAAGAATCGTTCGTATTTTCATTTAAAGTCAAATTTGCACAATATCAATAAGTAGATAGAGAATTCTGATGAATTCAAACACTTACAGAATTCACAAAGATCTGAATAAATTTACTGACTAGCATCAGAATATAGAAATATCTTCAATGATTCTTTCGTTGAATTCCCTATTGTACTTTTTGAAGCTCAACAAAATAGAATTCATGCAATTAGTATAAAAATAAATATATGAATTCGTGTCAAATGTTAGTTCACACGATTGCGACACACCATGGCACTTATAGGAGCTGACGGCATACTGTTAGTTGATTGTCCATATAGCAGCAACTATTATCCGGTTTGCATTACATAGGAAATTAACTAATGCAAACCGGAACAAATAAAAGGAAACTGAAACGATAGAATAAGAAAGTCACAGAAATCCGTTCAAGGTTTCAGAAGTTCTTTATAACAAGCGAGTAATCAGGAGAACACATATTAATTATTGGTCCTAGAGGCCATTTTCTTTTTTCTTTAAGCTAGTTCGATTCATATTGAGTTACAATTAGATAAAACCTATAAAACAATCAAATAATTAAGATAATCAATAATTTTCATAAATACTAATAAAATATACTTTATTGTTAATTATTTATAGGATTCCGATGATGAACAACAACAAAATAGTGATACAACACCAGTTCCATTAATAAACGGTCTTGAAACAACTTTATTCAGAGTTGATCATATTCCATCAACATCAAATAAACATCATCAACAAATTAATGAAGAACAAACTCATATACGTGGTATTACAACAACAAAGAAACGAAAATCTCCTAGTAAACAAATAATTCAACAATATGATAATCTTGAAAATATAAGTAATACAAAACGTAAATTTAAAACTGAATCAAAAGTAAAAGAAATTTATTAATAATAAATTTATTATTAAATAAAATTTACATAGAAAATTAAAAATAATTATCAATCTGAAAAAGAATTAACTCCATCATCATTATCTATGCCAACAGGTACTATTCGATATTCTGCTAGTTCAATGCGTACACGTACAAGTGATTATGACAGTGGAATTGGTACAAATAATACTACTAAATTAAGTCGTGATAGGTAAACCGATTATATAACAAAAAAAAAAGACAAAATAATACTAATTCTCTAAACTACTTCAGTAAATTAAACACAAGTACAATAGATGAAAGTCATTATCAATCACTCGATGAAGAAAGACGACGATATTCCGATGAAGAACAAGGTAACTAGAATATTTTTAACAATATATATATATATGTTTTTTTTTTATTGTTTAAGAATCAATTTCAAATTTATCTTCATCACGTTCGAGTGGTTCAGGTGCTGCAAGTCCCGGAAGTCCTTATAAGTAAGTTTTGCATCTCTAAAATCGTCATACTTGACATATAAGTGTCAACAACAAAAAGTAATATTTAACAAAGTCAATCAATAAATGAAAGAAAAGAAGAAGAAGAAGAAGAAGAGAAAAAAAAAGAAAAGAAAAGAATTTTTTCCTATTATTCTTTCGTCCTTCGATTCATATTCACATAGAATTTGTGATTACATTTATACGCTTCTTTTTTTTTTAAAGCAAATATACAAAAAGATTCGATCGTTCATTGTCACTGAAACAACTTAATGAGAATCGTCGTCGAAAACCTAGTGGTCATTCAGGTAAAGTGCATATAATTGAAAATTTTACAGAATTTTCATTTAAATACTTGTCTTATGTATGATTGAATAGAATGCATTAAGTGATTGAGAAAAAAATGTCTTTACAATTTTTTAAAAAAATTTTAGATTTCATTATAAAAGATGTCAAAATTTTTCATACAATTCTGTGAATATAATAATTTTTTCATTTTCTACAACAGTATAAATATGTTATTTCCTTTAGCATTTTAAAATTGACTAGAAAGAAATTAGTTTAAAAAAAATGTCTTTTTTTTCTAGTCAATTTTGTATGACGAGACGGAAAAAAATCTATATAGATTTTATAGAATGAAAAAAAAAATGATTATATTCACAGTTGTATGAAAAATTAACATATTGTATGATGAAGTTTGAAATTTTTTTTTGAAGAACCTACTTTTGAAGGCAAATTTTTTTTCGAAGTAACTCAATACATACTATCCAATCATGCATAAAGAAAAATTCAAATTCATTTATCTCATTTTTTTTTTTTTTTCTTCTTTTTTTAAATCAAATAAAGATCGTTATCCATCAGATATTGAAACACATATAACTGGTTCATTTGATACATTTCCACAATCAACATTAAGTAAAAAAAAATCTCATCTTAATTGGCAACCAAAACGAACAACGACTCATCGTTCACGTTTAACATCATTTCATCGAAGTTTATCAAATGATAGTATTAATATAGATAATTATAAAACTCGATTATATCGACCACAAACTGCACCACAATTATCATCAAAAACAGTACAATATTATAAAATGAGTAGAAAATATCAAAGTGGATTTATTCATCAACCAACTACTAAATCATTAAAACAATCTGAAACAATGTATAAAAGTTCATGTTATATTAATCAAGCACATACACATAGAAAATCACAAGAAAAACTTAATCAAAATTTAAGACAATATCAAAAACCAATACAAATATTGAATAAACAACAAACAAATAATCTTTATTTAGATCCTCAAACAGGCATTATATAGTAAGTAAATTATTCATCTTCAAGAGTAAATAGAAACATTAATTATCATATATATTTATAGTCGATATGTTCAAGATAATACTAAACCTTATTATCAACCAACATCTCAAACAAAAGCATCTCAACAATTATATCGATGTACTGAATGTGGTAGTATTACAACATATTATCATCGGTTTGTATTCTCAATTGATTTTAAAGAAAATAAAATATTAAAAAATATATGATATTCATTTATAATTTTTATATGTCGATACAAAACAAGAATCGTTTCAAAATGTCAAAAATTCAAAATTTTATCATATACTTTTATGTTCAATTTGAGAAGTGTCGTTTGATAGAACATATTCGAATTGCCTATGATAAACTAGTTTTTTCTGAAAATATTTAAAAAAAAACTACAACTAAATTTAAAATTTCCTTATAAGAGTCATCCATTATCACATATATGTAAATCTTTTTGTCATCTTTTTCTTAACGGTGTAGAACTTTATAAGTATTATTTTCTGATGGTACAGACAAAATAAATCAAAAAAATCCTATGACATAAGTTGTTTTTTTGGTCAATTTTATCGATAGAATCAAGAAATTTAGTCGTTTTTCGGATATTTCTAAGATAAACTTTGATTGATATATGTTTTAGTCATCATATGAATTCAACAACCAGACGAGTAAAAACTGATTTAGATGATCCAGGTTATGAAAGTGGAAATCGGTAAATATAATATCAAACATTCATCTGTTATTTTCTTTTTTTTTTTTTGTTTATTTAAGTAAAGTGAATCGATATCGTCGATATATTGATCATTTATCATCTTCAGAAAGTGATTCAGATGATGTAAGTATTAATGATTATTACATATGATTGATACATTTCTATGGATTTCATTTAAGAATCCAACTTATTGTGATACGTATGCATTAAATGAAGCTTATGAACGAGCAAAAAAAGTACAAGAACATTCACAAAATTTATCTAAATATATTAGTCGACAATTAAAACTTGTTTTAGCTACTATTTAAATATATACAAAAAAAGATTCGAGAAAGATCTCTATTTTTTTCTCTCTCTCTCTATAAATCTCTTCACATCCGTTTGTTTGTTTCTTACTTATAACTACTCATCTAATCGTATCGTTATTTTAATAACGATAGATAGCAACTAGATCTTATTCTATGTATTTTTTTTTTCTGTTCTCTCATTTTTATTCATTCTAATTATAAAAAGAAAATAATAATAATATGATTTTAACAAAAAAAAAAAATTATTACATGTTTACTATTACTTATACATTTATATTCAATGTCAATATGTACGTGAGTAAGTAAATATTTATGTCCTTAAGTATAGATTATGATATTAAATGGTTTCTCATATAATAACTTTTATGTATTCAATAATTAAAGATGATGTAATATACAATTTATATTTATAAATAATCACCTGTATTAAAAGAATATGAAAAATAGTAATAATTATTTGTTCGTAGAATTTTAGATAATCTTTTTCAAATCAAATATTGATCATTGTTTAGAGTTTTAAAATTTGATGACTTTATACATCTCTATACACTATCATTTCTCAAGTTATAACAATATTACTGAGGTTTTTTGTTTTTGTTACATCAGACAAGATACTAATAAAAAAAATTTGTTTGTCTCAACATTGGGAAACAATCATATGTCACAAGTGAGACATATGAGAATAGAACTACATTGTGGCACTCACTAGTGGCGTAACCAGGGAGTGGCTAAGCCCCACCACCGACTTAGAGCAGTGTTTTATCTAGATTTCGTTTTCCGAGTGGGCGAGTCGAAATTTCGGGTGGGCGGCGTCCATTCGGCCCACCCAGTAGACGAATGGCTGCTGTATATTTTCAAATGGGCGAATCAAAAACCCACTAGATAAATCACTGACTTAGAGCTCGACCAGCTGAGCTCCTCCACCATTAAAATCCTGGTTTCGCCATTAGCACTCACACTCTTTGATATGTCCCATCAATTAGTACAGAGAGTGTGTCATTCTTCTAAATTTTACCAAAAAAAACAAATCTATTGATGCACATATATTTTTGATCAATGAGAAATATTTATTCATACAGCGGCATCTCTATGATGAATACATATAAAAATATTTTGTGCCCTCTACCGCGTATATCAATTTAAACCAATGATTATTATTCGCGTAGTTTTCTTTGTTCATTTTGAATTTTTGTTTGTTCGTTTGTTAAACAATTGAATTAGTTCTATCGATATTCATCTTCAAATAACTTTTCGTCATTTTATTTAAAAATGTCAAAACGTCATCTTACTGTTCAAAATAAAGGTAACGAATATGAACAACAATCATCATCTATATTAACACGTTTATCATCAAAACGTATTAATACAAATGAATTAACATCAACAAAAAAATTAAAAATTGAAGAAAAACATTTTGATAAAGAAAATATACCAAAACGTGAAACACGTCAAAGTACAAAAGTAAAACAACGTGAACCATCACCAATACCAACACCATCAATTGAAACAAAAATTATAAATCCTCCTGATGATTCTGATAATGAATTTAATAATTCTGATCAACAAGAAGAATATTTAAATATATCAATTAATGATAATGATAAAGGTAAAGATTATCCAACAAATAAAGAATATATTATTTATGAAAATACACATTCACCATTAATTATATCTAAAACAGCACGTTATTGGTTAAATAAATATCGTAAAAATCTTTCTCATGTTAATCCCGATGCATATAATATGTATATTCATGCTGATTTTAATTGTTATGGTGAATTAGAAATTATTGAAAATTGTTTACTTGATTTAACTAAAACAATATTTATTGTACAACAACAAGGTATATTAAATCATTTAAATTTTCAACGTAAATCATCTGATAAAGTTAATTATATTCTTGGTTTTCGTCGTCTTGAAACATTAACATATTTACTTAATTATACTGATAGTATAAGTGGTATTGATGATGGTGATCGATTTTATTCTATAATACGTGTTATTGGTGCATGTTATATAACTATTCTTCATGGTTTATTACCTAATATAATGTTTAAAAAACTTGATACTATTGATGATAAAATATTAATTAAAAAATTAAATAAAATATTAAAACAAATACCAAATTTTAAACAAGTTTTAGAACAAGCTATTATTATTGGTTATTTATTTTTAACTATTGCTGATGTTTGTAGTGCATATACAAATATTCTTCAAGTATGAAATGATTTAATAGAAAAAAAAAAAAAACGATTTTGTTTTTAGATTGTTTATTGTAATTGGATTTTAATTATGGATAAAATTATAATTGATTTAAATAATAAATCAAATGATAAACTTATGAAAGCATTAAAACATGCATCTCAAATTGATAGAAATAATCTTGAATATGGTGATAAAGAATCATTTGATTTTTTAAAAGAATTACGTTTATATAAAGAAAAATATGGTCTTGGAGGTGATGCACATGATCTTAGTAAATGGTCACGAAGTAAACGTGCAGCTTATTCATATGGACGTTTTAATACTTTTGAAGACTTATTTTCTTGTTTTTAGAAATATTATTTGTTGTTGTTGTTCATGTTAATATGTCATAGTACTTTTTTATTATATAAATTCAAGATAGATATTATTATAATTATTCATTTCTATTTTATATTTCGCAAATAAACATGAAACTATTGGATTTATGAAAACGTTTTTTTCTTTTTTTCGTTTATGTAGCCAGTTCATTTGATTAATTGTATTTTTTTTTGTCTTCTTTTCATGTATATTATATGCGACTGTATGTATCTTAGAATATATTAGATATTAAAAGAATGTTGCAATGTTTTTCTCTTACAAGAGTTTTTTACCAAAAAAAAACAAATGTAATCAGAATGAAGATCAGCAAACCGCTTTTTTCCTTTTCGTTAGCAGACACACGTTAAAAGATTAGAGTATTTGAATATGAGCAAAAAACTACGTAAAGCGTAGTATGTAAAGATATACTGATTAGCAAGGTCATCATCTTTCATTATTTATTTTGTCTAGAACAAAGAAAAAAAATATTTTAATGCGTTAGAATTTTCTGTTAATATTTATCTTTTGTTTTTTTTTTTTTTAAAAACCACTTGTCTGACACTATCTTTCTTCGATTCATAAGCATTATTTGCATCAATGTAATAAAATGCAGTATACTTTGTCAAGGAAAAAAGACTTTGATAAAACTCTTCGTTTTTTTTTCGTTTTATCTAACTATACATTTATTGTTAAACATAAATTTTATTATGTGATCATTAAGAAGCTATAAAACATAGAGTAGTATTTTTTTTTCTTTCTTGGACATGAAAAATACTTCATATTGATTTTCATTTATCAATTGAAGTTCTCTCAAATTTCATATTGTCATATACAGACAAACATTGTTTTTTTGTACGAGCAAATATATTGTACATTAATATTACATCGGATTGCACAAAAAAAAGGAACAATAACAACCCATATATATATATATATAAGTAGACATACAAAAAGATGCGGCTGTTGCAAACGAATTCTTTCTTTGTATGTCTTCTCAGTTGCTGCTGTTGCAACTACTATTATTATTCATTGCAAGAAGATTGTTTATTACATAAGACTGACTATGTACTTGTTACATTATCCATATATCAGATTATTCTCCTCTTAAATTTCAGATAACACATTTTTTGTCAGTGTCAACATCGTCTGGTCCATTTAAAAATATTATTGACGCATAAATATTTTTTTGTTTGGCTAGTCAATTTAAAAAAAAAAGCCCGACAAATAATAAACAGGGTAAAGAATATTCGAGTATGTGTGTCATATAACTGTTACGTTTATTAATAAACATGATTTTTCCTTTAGAAAAGAAAAATTTTATCTCGTCTTTTGTCTTTCTTTTTTGTGTTTGCTTTAGCTTGTTTGGTCAAAATTATAAGCAAAAACAACAACAACAACAACTATTAAAATACATTTTCAATTTGAAGTGAATTATTAGTTTTTTAAAACATTATTAAGAACTATTTGCTAGTGTACAATTTGAATAAACTAAACATCGTTTTAAAAAGTATGTATTAAATTTATTTAAATAGTTCATTTGAGAGACTTTAAAAGAGAAACAATATGTGTAAATAATTTGTATAAATGTATTTTGGATTGATCACTTTTCTCGTTTTTTTTTTGAATTCATCACATCATTTAATATAGATTTTTTTTTTTGTTTTTCTATTAAATTTAATTTCTTTTGTGACATCTATATATTAACAAGATGAGTTGATCAATAGAATAGTAAAAAAGTTAAACAAAAATAAATCTCAAAATTACTTTAACATATTCATTTATGATGGTAGCTTTCTATTTACTATAAAATAAAACTAGTCATATAGATAGACATATACATTTAAACTTAATGTCTTTCTTGATTTATTAAAGTAATCAAAACATCTATTCTTCTCATGAACAATAACTTATCTAGATAACTTATAAGTCAATGATTTTTTTTCATTTAGAATAAACATCTGTTTTTTATGAATGTATAACATACTTTTTTTTTTGGTCAATTTGATACAAAACATGAATGGTCTTGTACTCAAGCCTTTATCTATTTTCATATATATTTATGTTTTATTATATTCTACGTGATTTTTAGCTTTTTATTCAAATATCTGCTTGAATTAAACTACAAAAAAAAAAAATGAGTGATTGATAATGTGCTACCCAAGTAGAAGACTGGAAATATAACAATCCTGATGAATGATGATTGCTCACATATATATATACAAAGAATAAAGCTATAATCAAAAGAGCATATAAACTTATTCTCAGTAATAAGAAGGATAAAAGTGCACAGTTATATTATCCAAAGAAGGAAAAGAAAGATCAGACAAATAACAATCCGATGTTGAATTATAATGATGATTTTTACCGTAAAATTCTTTTTCTGTTCTTTTTTTTTTCTATTATGCTTTTATTACAAGTATCCTCGATTTCACATACATTAGTCGAAATTGACTTGACCACCAGCATTTGTATTTAATCGAATAGAAGAATCTTTATATGTGATTAATCAGGTAGAAAAAACAAATTCTTATATTTGCTACCTGAACTAGAACAACAACCTTTTCGACTAAATACAAGCGAAGTGGTGTAACACATAGATAAACATATTGCTCCGTCACACAATCATTGCATTCACCTGTAGGTGTGCTCTTATTTTCAAGTGGTAAGAGAGCAACAAAAAAAAAAAAGGAGACCCTCTGCATAGTTGAGCTGCTTAGCAGCACAATATAGGAGAGAGAGAGAGAGAGAGAGAGAGAGAAAGAGAAAGAGAGAAGAAAAAAAACAGACACAACTAGTAACAATCAATGTCTTGAGGGTCACCCATCAGTTAGTTAGTTAAGATAGACTGACATGATGTATATGTCAATATATGTTAAAGTGAATGGAAGTAGTGAAGAATCCTTCAAATATTGAGTTTTTTTTTTTTATGTTATTAGTGTATATTGAAGAGTAATTCTATTCTTAAAAAGAACTATTACTACATTGTACTTGTCTTCTCATACTTCTAGGTATGACAAGATTTATTCATGAAACTATTGAAATAGTTACCTACATATCTTTGTTTTCTTTTCTTGTCTTTTTCTCTTTTTTTTTTTTTTTTATTATCACAGCTATCTCATTTTTTTTTTATTACGCTGTAAGAATAATCTCGACTATATGAAGAGAAGAAAAAAAAAACCACACTACCACAAACAAGAAGAAGTTATCAACTATCGTGTGTCCTTATATCATACCTGGTCTCTCCCTCTCTGGAAAGTTTGTCTCTTTTCTCTCTCTCTCTCTCTCTCTCTCTCTCTTCCATATTAACTAACATAACAAATGTAATATAATATTTTTGTTGTTGCTGTCATTTGGGCTACAAGTGAACACATAGAAAAAAGTAGGATGTAGGCAAATTACATGTGTAAATATGTAAATAGTATAAACCGCATAAATAGGAGATTTAGGTTCCTATAAATGCATACATTTGTTGTAATATGAATAATAGTATTGATGATACATATTTATGTTATTAATTAATTGCTTATTTTTAATTTAGTACTTATAGAAATGAGTTAAGATCTAATTTTTTAATTATCATAAATATCTGTAGTATTCATACCTTTTTATTTATTATTTTTTTCTTTTTCTCTTTCTTCCATTTCGTCCTTCTTCATCATCTTCTCTTCGTTGTGCTCTTCATTCGTTGCTGCAATCGTCATATCAACGAAAGAGAGAGAGAGAGGGTAAGCAGTAAAGAGAAAGGAATGTTGAAGAGAAGAATACAGTTAGATGAATGACGACCCAAAGAAGAGAAGGAAGGAAAGACGCGTCGGCTGATTATTCATGCTTTGCTCTCTCTCTCTCTTTCCCATTTTTTTTTATTTAAATAAAGCTTTATATATTTCGAATGAAATAGACAGGCGAATGTATATGAATACATTGGGTCCCAATTTTGTTGGTCTATCGCATCGATCACATCTCCTGACTGAAAAAAAAAGATCACGAGACAGACATAGTTGTATATATCATAAGTTCACTCAAGTGTATCAGTGATGAGAGTTTTATATATATATAGTAAAAACAACAAAAAAAAATGAATAAGACAAAGTATAATTAAAGAACCTTGAGTTGACCTCTGTTAAACATTTTAACATAGTCATTTGTTTCTATCAATATTTTATGTTTATTCTTTTAGCCTTGTCTATATTATATTTATTCTTCTTTTCATCATTAAATATAGAATTAAAAGTTAAATAAAAATGTCTATTGAACGTGGTGATTCAACAATTATACGTAAAACAGTAATTGAACATGGTTATAGAAATGTTGATAGTTCAATTGGTCGTTCTGGTTTAGAAGTTGTACGTAATTTAGCTATACAACGTGAAGATGAAAAACGTGAAATGCAAGAACTTAATTCAAAATTTAGTAATTATCTTGAACGTGTTAAATTTCTTGAAAATCAAAATCGTAAATTACAACTTCAACTTGATGAACTTAAACAAAAATGGGGTAAAAATTTTCCAAAAAAAACAAATAAATATTTTTTTTTGTTTTTGCTTTTAAGGTTTTGAATCTGGTCAAGTTAAAGATAAATATGATGAAACATTACGTTCATTAAGAAAACAAATTGATGATGTTACACGTGATAAAGCTTTAGCTGAATTACGTGCTAAACGTGCTGAATATGATGCATCATTAATAAAACATCAATCTGATTTTGCACATGAATTAATTACTCTTGATCGTAATCGTTTTACTATGCTTAAACAACAACTTGAAGGTAGTAATTCAGAATTAGAATTATTACGTAATCGTTTTGAAGATAAACGACAAGATATTGATCGTGGTAAAAGTGAAATTCGTCGTCTTTTGGATCAATTAGATACATTAAAAAATGAATTTGATCAAGAATCTATGGCACGTGTTATGATACAAAATGAATTACAAACATTAGAAGAACAATTAGCTTTTATGAAAGCTATTCATGAAGAAGAACGTAATGAAATATC